GGGGCTAGCACTGCGAGGTCGCCGCCAGCCAGACCGCATCGACGGAGTCAACCCCCGGAGAACCGGGGTCGTCACCTCTCGGACCACGTGATCGCTGGAGGAGAAACGACTCAGGCTCACCGCATCCGACTTGTTGAAGAATTGGCGCCGCGGCAATTTGCACACGCAATTAATCTTGCCGGGCAGTCATCACTCAAATCAAATCACCCGCCAACCCGGCAACTTCATGTGATATCTGAGACACCGGCAGAGCCCTTCCCTTCTCCATCGGGTGACGGGAGCCTCTTCTTCGGCTTCCATCCTTGTCTCGGCATCCCAAGTTGGTCTTCATCCCATTTGCATTCGTATGGATGAAGGGATTACCGACCTGGACGCCAGCGATCCCAATAACCCCAGCCGAAAGACCCTCCACCAGCCGAAATACACTTACAAGCCACTACGCCGCCAAACCGCCTGTACGAAGTACTCATTGCAACCACGGACGTGTCCCGATCACCTCGGGCATCCATCATTGCAACGCCACAGCTTCTCAATTACAGAGCCCGACGAGGAGGAGCAACGCCCTTCGTCGTCAATCGTGATACTGCGTCGACGTTGCGTCGTCTTCTGTTCCTTCAGCGGACCGTCCTCACGGACCACCTGGCAGCGCCGATCACAGAGGGACCGCAGCAGTTTGCAACGTCCCTTTTGTTGGAGGTCGCAGTTGGAGCGGAACCCGCCGTCAAGGCGCGCTACCTATCATCTTCGCTACGCTATCGGCAGCCAAAAAGATACACAACAAACCTGCCCAACCGTGAAGGGAAGGTCCTCTCACGTTGAAACCCGCAGAAAGATACGTGATTATCTCGCAAGAGCACGGGATCCTGCGCCGGACGCTGGCCTCAGTAACGAGACCAGCGGCGGGAAGAGTGACGATCAAGAAGGAGCCGCCCGGCCCTTCTTTTCTCTGTCAGTCTGCGGCACGCGACAGCAGACAAGCACATGAAAACCGCGGGAAAAAAGAACGCCCTGCCAGAAGGATTCACTCCTCGTACGTAACGCAACAGCTGCGTATCCCAGGACCGCCGACGAGACGCCGTGGCCGAGCCCTTGGGCGAGATTTGATTCACCCGTTCCATCGGTACCATTTGTCTGCGGGAACCGAGGCGAGGCGAGACGAGGCGAAGCGACAGCCAGGCAAGGGACAGGCATCGCGACGACGGCAAGGGCTGGGCCTGTCCAAGAAGTGAGGCCGAGCAGAATTCGCGGATTGCGTGAAGTATATTCCGGCAACTTGCAACTGCAGCTCACCGGCAAACTACGACGGCAAAAGCCTCCCGCCTTCTGGACGCTCTGCGATCTCATCACCAGAACTCGTCTCAACTACTGCATCCAGCCGCTCCGTGGCTACCTTGGTCGCCTTGCCCACGACCGCAACAAAACCACACACAAGGGAAAGACTCACCATCAACGAGCAAGCAAACACGACTCTTCAGCTTGCCCAGGTTCCCACTTTGCACGGGTAAACGAGTGCACCAACCAGGACCCGTCAGTTACCCGTCATTCCATCCACCCCGGCTCCGTCTCCACCGGGGAACGTCCGCCCGGTATCCCGCCGTCTCAAGATTTCAGAAAGGACCTGAACCCGGTTCTAGAAGGACGGGGCTGGCTCCAACCCGTCTTGATTTGACTCTTTTCGTCTCTCTGCAAAGTACCAGTACCGCCGCTGAACGTTTTGTTCGTGGCCGGGTGACGCAAAGCATTACGGATACAGCTCCTCACGTGGTGGACAACTGACTAAGGTCAGCAAGGCGAGACCAAAGACAAGACCAGTCGGCTGCAGTCCAGTCCCCAAAAAGCAAAAAGGGATCAACACAAAACAGATTGTCGAAAGTGGCCAGCCAGGGCAGTGCGCCTTTTCTGGTGTCGCTGTCAGTGACTCCGCCTTCGGTGAGTGGTGTTGGAAGCCACTCTGTCTGCTTTGGCTCAGCGACCCGTAGCGGTAGATTGAGCGATTCGATTGATTGATTGCTTCTGTGCCTGGATTTACCAGGGGCCTGGTTCCTGGACTGTCGGATTCTGGCTCACCGTTTATCTGCTGGGCAGAGTTTTCTGCTCGCAACCGTTCTTGAAGAATCCTGGCTGATACCTGGCTTGCGGCTTGTCTTGCCTTGTCGTATCAAATCAGGGGCGAAGGACGACTGTGACGACTGTGACGAACGACGGCCAGTGACCTCAGGATCTGTCTGGTGGAGTTGCGACAGGTCGCAGGCTTGTCATCAAAGGGTGTTGTGACTTGGTTTATCCGTCATCAAGCTATCCGTACTTCTGCGCTACAACTCGGCACAGAGCCGGCAGTTTGAGACAGAGACATCTGGACAAAAGAAGTTCAAGGCCAGGAGTCAGGCTAAAGTGCCCCGCGGACAAAGAACCAAGAGGGGGAAGGAAGACGATTGGGGTAGGGTTTTGTCTCCGCGTCGATGAAGAAGTCAGACACAATTGTGGCTGCGAGACAACCAAAGAAACTACCCCAACGAAACGCCTCCCTAAGCCCCCGATCCAGCTCCTCGGTACGCCCGGCGCGTAATCCTTCCACAGGAGAAGCAGGACGACAGCAGAGACAAGGGCAAGCTTTGAAGCGAGCGAGGGACAGACACACGTTCCAAGGAAACCATCGACGCCATCGTGCAGCGACTACTGGGACAATCCAGCGGGCCAACGACTTGTGGACTGGCGCTCGATCTGTAGGCAGTGTTGCCGGTGTTAGTGGCCCTGTCACGACGAGCTAACTGAAGTCCGTCAGTCCGCCGGGTCCAAGTTGGAAGCTTTGACGACGCCAGACAGGAGCAGCGGCAGCAAACAACGTCAACAAACGATCTGTGCCGGGGCAAACACACACCAACCAGCAAAACAAACAACAACAAACTGCCGTCATTACGGCTGGCTAGGAGTAACATAGCGGCTGCCAAACGGGCTAGTGCGCCGTCCCCTACGACAACAGACAAGTCGACAGTCATTGTTCATTCGGCGGAGGTTGCTCGCAACAGTCCGTCCGACGTGGATGTCCTTGTCGGGGCAAACACACTGCAGGACGACACACACATTTCAGGACCTGAGGACACGGGCCAATTGCAGGCCGGGGAAAGGAGCAGCTCTGGGATTCCGCAGAGTAAGCTGTGGACAGTGACCAGTGGTACCCGTCCGCATACCGTACCGTCCAAACGGATCTCCCCTGCCGGGACGGAGACCAGGGCAGAAAGCGACCCGAGGGCCAAATTGGAGTGGACTCTGCCAGGTCTCCCAGGACAAGAGTCCTTGTGCGTGGTGTCCTTGGGCAAAGACTCGAGAGGCGCTGTCACTCTGAGGTCTGTCTGAGGCGCGCGAGGTACCTGCCGGCCCTAGTGTAGCGGCGCCGGGCGCTGCAAGGTACAACCCGCCCAAACGAACCTGTGGTGGGGCTGCGCCCAAGTCATTCAGGGCCGCCGACAACGAGGACGGTACTTGTGGCTGCTGCAGAACATCTGCGAGGGACAGGTCTCTGGCCGTCTCGCGAGGTATCTTTCTAGGTCAGGCCGCCGTCTTTCTGCGCAGCAACAGTGCAGTAGCTGCGCAGCAGTGCTGCTGCAGTGAGAGAGCCAAAGAGGAGGGCCGTTGGAGAAGAAGACGCAGCAGACGCAGCAATCAGCCAGCCAGCCAGCAGCTTATCGGACCTGCTAAAGAGACAAGAGAAAGAGACGGGAGAGTGATCTCTTTTGTTCCTGCCGCCATCCTTTTCATTGTCTCTGCTGCCGCCGCTCATCTGGTCATTATTCTGACCCTTCCTCCCCTCTCTTGGACTTTGACCTCTCTTTACAAGGTCATATTTCTGATTCTCAACCCCTTCCGCTCTACGATTACTATTCCACAACTGCAAGACTCTTGCTGGTGATTGGGCTGCTACACGAACGAGCGGCGACACGAACAGAGCAGTCCTTGTCCGTTTGCTCTGTCGGCGAGCCCCAGCTCCAACAACTCGCGCGGTCTTTTACTCTCTCGTTTTCTCCAGTCTCCATTCCCGCAATTATTATTATTTTGCCCTCCTCCTCCTCCCGAACACCCCCGGCGCAATCCACTCAAATTCAGCGCCGACCACCAAAAGCACCCGGCATCGAGCACCAACACCCCCCTCCCCTGTTCTTCCTTACCGGTCACTGTTACGGTCTGCGAATACCACCATCTGCCCTGCCCGCCTTACCTTGCTTGCCTCGCACCCGCTTGCTTGCTTCCTTGGCTAGCTGCTTGCTTGCTTGCCTCAACTGCTTGCTCCTGCGACCTGCGCGCATTCCGCCATCCTCCCTCCTCTGGGACCATATTGCGCCAGGCCCAGTGCTGCTGTTTACGCCGGCTTGTTGTTGTTGCTGCTGCTGCTGCGTGGTACGTACTGGCGCCGCCGTCCAAGTACCTACACACACCCAACGGACAACAACGGGACGGTGGACAGGACAAGACGGGACAGGCGCGGTACCTCGCTCTACTTTCCGGTGGACGGGCATGCTAAATTAAAAAAACATCCCCCTTCCCCTCCCCTTCTCCCCCCTTCAAAATCCTTCCCCCCCCCCCCGGTGCTCCCCTCCACCGACACACCCCCTCCCCTCCCAAATTCCTCCCCCTCCCACCCTTGACGTCTCCCTACAGCAAACCTGGACGCACCCGCCGACAGAGAGAGAAGGAGGAGGATACACTGGCCACCAAAGAACAGCAACGTCGCAGTGGTCGAAGTCACACCCAATCTTCCTCCTCCACCAAAAAAAAAAAACCACTCTCTCGATTCGAGGCCCCCGTCCACTCAGACTGGAGCTCCCATCTGCGAGCTGGGTCTCGTTGTCCTCCTCCCGGTCCCAGAAGGGTCAAGACCAGGGCAGAGAGGACCCAAGTCCAAGACCAAGAACCCGACAGACCCAAACCGCCCAAACCACCCCAAGGCACCACGGGGACCACGGGGGACCCAACCGCCCCAGAAAACAGAAACAGATTCTGCAAACATGTCTCAATACATGTACACCAGTCTCGCCCCTTTACCTCCCGTCTTCTCTCACCTCCCCGACTCGAGAAGGGCGAAGGCGACGCCCTCCAATTCCAACTCTTCTGCAGCCTCCAACCAACCCAAAAACACCTCGTCTGCCGCAACAGCAGCAGCAACACAACCACCGCCAACACCAACAGCTGCCTCCACGCCGCCAATCTCAAAGGCAAATCCCGCAGACTCCTCCCGCCTACCGCCCACGAGCAGGACAAAACACCACTACCACCAGCACCACCCCTCCACTCGCTTGCAGCATATCCGCACCTCTTCTTCCTCTTCTGCGTCACGATCTTCTAACGAGACCTCGATCACCCCCACGTCAACCACCCTCTCGATCCCGCAGACAGCGTCTCCCACCGACTCGCGCGCGCCGTCCTCGCCATCGTCGCCGAAGAAGCTCAAGCACAAGCACCACCACTCGCTCCAGGAGACACGTGCTGCCGGCGACCACGGCTTCGGCTCCCTCCGCTCTAGAGCGCCGGCGCGCCTCCGCAAGGAAAGCGGCAGCTTGAGCTCCTACGCCAAGTTCGCGCTCGCCTCCCCTCCGACACCCCGCACCACGGGCCTCACTCCCACGGAGATAAAACATGTCGCCATGCTCGACATGGACATCTCGGGTCGTCATCTGACCGCCGCCAAGGCGACCGGCACTCTGCCCTTCTCCCGCACCGATAGCTTGTCCTCGGCCGCGCCTTCAACAGCGTCCATCTCGGCCCGCACAATGACCTCTACCGACCCCACTTCGTCGTTCGACGCCTCGCGTCCCTTCGTCTTGAAGAATGGGCGCCAGTACCTGTCCGACAATTCGTTACCCTACCCACTGCCCGTCGATCTGGTCGAGCTGCATCGCCAGTCAATGCGCACGCTCATGCTGATCCAAGTCTTTGGCTCGCCATTGTGCTCACAGGGCAACGAAGTCAAACCACCAAGTCGCGTGCTCGAGATGGCATGCGGCTCCGGCTTCTGGAGTCAAATGTGCTTCCGCTACTTCAAGGGAAAGGGCCACACAGACACCGAGTACACCGGCATGGATATTGGTCCCATGGGCGCAACCGCCGGCGACGTGGATCGCGACATGAAGTGGCGCTATGTACAGCATGACATGCGCACGATGCCCTGGCCCTTTGCCGACGGCGAATTCGACCTGATCATGGTCAAGGATACCAGCTTGGTAGTGACAAGCCCGCACTCCGTCCAATCCACCATGGACGAGTACATCCGCATCCTGCGCCCTGGCGGCACCATTGAATTCTGGGACAGCGACCACCAGATTCGCATGCTCCGGCCCCACGCCGCGCCACTGGCCTTGGACACCCCAGAAGGCGCCGCCGCCGTGGCGCTCGGCGCATACCCCCTGTCATCCAAGACACCACTCAGCGCGCCGCTGAACAACTACCTAGTCGAATACAACTCGTGGGCCCACCGCGCGCTCGAGTCGCGCAACCTCAGCCCCGTGCCGTGCACCATCATCGGCCCCGCGCTCATCCAGGAGTGCGAGGTGCTCAAGGACATACAATCGCGCCGCCTGGCGATCCCGCTATCGGAAGTTCGCTGGGAGCGCGAGGGCGTCGGCGGTGTCGTTACCAAGGATGGCAAGTCGTACATCGAGACGGGCAAGGGCAAGTCCAAGCCGGACTCGCAGAAGAAGACGCTCACGCCCGCGCAGGCGGCTCTCCGCCGCACGGCGCTGACGACCGTCGTCCAGCAGATCCAGAGCTTGGAGCCGCTCCTCAGGGAGACCTCGGGCAAGAGCCAGGACGAGTGGGACGGCTGGCTTGGCAAGATGATGAACGACTTGACCAGGGAGAACGGCACGAGTTGGGGAGAGTGCCTGGAGGTAGGCGCATGGTGGGCGCGGAGGAAGTAGTGAGGCACGGCTTGATGAAACGAAAGGTTTTTATTGCATTTCTGTTGGAGCTATCTCACAGGACCATCTCATCCTCCCCGCTTGAGGCGACCATCACGCCCCGGGAACATACCGCTTCCTCAGCGTTCGGTATCGTTTGAGGTAGTACCTGCGAGATCGTTAGCATGCCAATCAGTCGCACAGCAACAGCAAGACACAGAAACAGAAACAAGGAAACGCGCAGAGGCAGAGGAACGGTTGAAGTGTGCAGTTCAACATCGAGATACCCCCCATCATCATCATCAATCTACATCACATATCAACCAATATTTACATATACCTATATCTCATCTTGACTTCTTGACATGTGAAGCGACGTATTGACCTGAAGTTGATCTTTCGATAGTGCGGTATGGTGGGGGAAGGGAAAGGGGACTTGGGACTTCGACCGGTAGATGCTCGCTCACGTGGCAGGAATAATATGGAGCTTGTGCTTGCAGCGGGGACGATTCCGCGTGTTCAAGTGAGATCGACATGAGGGAGGCGTGGCGACAGGGGTGGGTAGGGCGGTCTCGGTCCTGTCCCCAGCGTGAATCCACAAAGGGTGCGGAAACAAAAAGGGTGAGGTCGAACTTACAAGGCTTCGATTTCTAGAAGGGGGGGGGGTCGTTAGCATTGGCCTTTGAGCGATCTTGCTCAACGATGTTCAGGTAGGGGAGGTGGGAACGGGGCAAGGGAGCGAGGTATGGATGGATTGACGTTCAGGAGTTGCGGGAGATGTGGGCCGCTGGGCTCTGTTTCTTTGTGAAGGGTGATGGCCCCGTGCGAGGCGAGATGAGGATGGTGTTCTGTACTCGGAGTCATATGATGTGGAACTGGAAGTTTTGGGGGAGACTTCTCCCCAAAGATGCTGTTCGTGAGAAGGGTCTGTTGCAAAACCTCATGAGGACGTGGACGGCTGGCTTTTGCATCGCTTGACGCTGTGGGGTGGGTGATCTTGTGTTGTATTGTACGGCCTGAGAGATGCAGGGGGCTCTCTTTTGGTGGCGTGTAAGGAAGAGAGAGAGAGTTGGGTGTTGTGGGCTGACGCTATGGACGATGACTTCAAGATGCCGGGTGCCGGGAATGTGCCAATGTGACACGGAAAGGTGTCCGCATTGGGGAAATGGCTGAGTTCTTCTGAGACTGGGGGCGGGAGCAGTTGTTGAAGGCTGCCTTCTGGTTCGTTTTTGATAGACTTGACCACTGGAGTCGCGAGGGTCTAGGTAGGCGGTTGGATCGTCGACAAGCACCAGTCACAGATGCTGATATGTGACGGCTATGGAGTGCGGCAGGACGAGGCGCTTCTTGGAAAAGGGTAAAATCTCCCCGTCAATGGCAGAGCTTTTGCCTGTTGCGATGGGGTCCATTATGTGGTGATGAGAGGATGTTTGCCGTTTGCGCATATCGAGGCCGACGCATGATCCGGGGAGATGAAGCCTGATTCTCAGGGGACCGTGAGGGAGGTCATCTTCTGTGTTGGTCGAGGCCTGAGACGCTTCTTCTTCTTTGAAGGCAAGACCCCGCCAAGGGCTTGATCGAGTTCCTCAAGGGAACGCCGTGGTTGCAGCTGAAGCTAGCGGAGGAGGGACAGCCTCTTGAGGGACGGCTCTTAAAGGTGCCGGTGAAGCCGAAACGAGAGGGTTCTCATTCAACATCGACGCTGGGCCGGTTGGGCCTGGCCCTCGGGCTTCTCGTCACCCAAGACACATAGCTTCTGGGCTGAGATACAAGCACACCTTGTCGTGGATGAGCCATCTACCAGGGGATCCGGACAGGCGAGGAAGGAGTGTTCTGAACTCGACCCGGAGGAAAGAGAAATTGGCATCAGCGCCAGATGGAAATCCGCAGGGGAGTGTTGTGCATACAGCATTTCCTCTAAATGGAGATACACCTCGTGGACCTAGACTCAGAAGTATCCTCGAGGTACCGACGTCCGAGAGGGAGAAACAACGCCTGTCCGATAGCGGCAAAGATGATGATGCTGATGACCCCCCCCCCCCCCCCCCCCCCCCCAGCCAAGAACACAATTCCATCTGGCCGAGAGCGTAGAAAGACTGAATCAGAGTCCAACTGGGGTCGGCACTTTTTAAACAATAATAGCCACCAAGGTCGAAGTTTGAAGGTGAGGATCGTGCAGGGAAACCGTCGACCAGGCCAGCATGCGAGGTAGCTTCCACCTGGTGCTTCAGGAAAATAGAAATGAGGAAAGAGGATTGCAGTGACTCCAGGCAAACCACCAACCAAACCGCGTCTAACAGCGAACACGGCAGACCTGCGTCCTGGACGATGCCACTTGACAACCCCACGACAGTCCACAGGCGCCTTGAAGGTAGTGGAAGTAATGACCTAGACGGCCCGGTAGGAGAAAAGACGCGAGGCGACAGGCGGGACAAAGGAAGGACAGTACTGGATGTGAAGACTCAAGAGGAATGGAGCACGACCTACCCTTCTTCACAAACTCGGCTCTCTGGATGCCCTTCTCGATCGCCTCTTCGTCTCTCAGCCCCGCGTTGGCGCTGAAGGCCCGGTGTAGGCGTGGGCGGAAGTAGTCATATCCGAGGGGGTACTCGCGTCCGAGGAAGAGCAGTTCTACGGTCTCATTAGCGATGTTCGAGGTGATGATTGTTTTTGATCGCAAGAGGCAAATGGTTGGCGACAGTGGACCTGGAAACCGAGCAGCGATTCAAGCTTGACTTGATTTGACTTGGGGCTTTCCGATGACCGAGAGTGTCAAGCTCCCATGGCCCATTCAACTGATGACTCTTGCACATATTCATGGGAAATGCTGACGGCAATATCGCATGCCCCGCGAGAGCGGGTGTAAGTCATTGACACCCAGGACGACCCTCGAATAAGGCCGGTATGAAGCAAGGATGAGAGCCCACTAACCTTTGTAAATGGTGATCACGCGCCTCCTCAACTCAGGATTTAGAGCGCTCATCTCGAGTTGCCGGATGTTACCGCGCAAGCAACTCAGAATTCAGTCTGCAATGAGATGGCTGATCGTGTAGGTCAACGTCGCCAGGATGTCGTCGGTTCCGTGGCGATGAGGTTGGATCCCTGACGAATGATGCAACACCCCTCCGTCCACTTGCGGCCCCACAGTACCACCAATGCGCTTCTCCAATTGGCCATACCACAGCTCAGCTCCTCATCTTATCAGTCGCCAGCCAGGTTCCTCGTCTGGCCCGATCTACGGCCTCAAACTTCGCGACAGAAACAAACCATCGATCCGCTGGTACAGACCAACCCGACGCACGAAGCCGACCATCGACGAAATGTTGTGCGCGAGGGCAGCTCGCACAGCGCTGCTACGACGCCCGGCACTCCTCCTCGTTCGCCAGACTCCTCCCGCCGCCTCCCTCCGCATCGCAGCATCGAGTCCTCGACCGTACAGCCAAGCCAGCAGCATCGCAAATCCCCAGCCGGCAGAGTTGCGGAGCGCCACTGAAGACCTCCTCTTGGCTCTCGATCAGGCGGAAGCGGCCGACCTGGCGGCGGTCCAAGACGTTGACGAAGTCGAATACGAGCTTCCATCAAGACCAGATGACGGGCTGACCGCGAAAGAAACAATCGACAAGCTCCTGCTCAAACCGAAACCCGCGCCGCAATACCTCAACGCCAGCTTCTTTCTCAAGCGCATCGGGAAATGCCTCATGTTTGGCTGCAACGAGGAGCAGGTCGCTGTGGCGGCCCGTCTTGTGGGCCAGATTGCAAAGGACTTTCCTCGACTGCAAATGGCTCGGTCCAACGCCGTCGTCGACCCCAGGGCCGTGTATACAGAAAGGCTAGACATGACGAAACGAATCGAGCTCGAGCCCTTGTCCAAGACGTTCGGAGTGAGCAGCAATGAATCCCTCCAAGACTCGACGCGCTCATCGCTGACATTGTTGACCCATCTTGCAGGGAATCCCGCGGCCATTTCCACTCCCGAAATTGGTTGAGGTGGCCGTCTTGCGATATCTCGACTATGTCGCTTCAACTTCCACCTCTGACGTAAAGGCAAAATGGGATCAGATTCAACGAATGCAACGGAAGGCCTGGAAGGTTGATTCCCACTCGCTGAGCCATAAGCCGGTGTCGCCGCTGGCCATCCAAAACATGCAGTGGCCGTCGACCTTGCGATACGTGAGTCTAGTCTACTAAAAGGGCGTTGTCCGAAAAGGGCTAAATGGTTGCGTAGGATCGGACACGTAAAACACAGAACATCTCTCTGTATACCCGTTTGGAGAGCTTCACCGAGATGGATCGCCGCGTCAAGTTCATTCTCGACGTGGCCTTATGGTCACATTCGGCCAACGCTTTTCTCGTGAACGCAAAAGTCACACTGGTGTTTCTCTACCCCCGGAAACAGTTGCAGGGCAAGTCTACCCGCTGGTTTGCGGAAGAGATGGAACGTATGCTGAATCATGCGACGCCCGAGGTCTGGCAGGAGGGCAGAGACTTGATAGACACGATCCGCATATTGGAGTCGCAGACTTGGAATAGGGCGGATGCGGTCGAGGACTTGGGCAGTGCTTCGTCGGCTTGAGATGCACTGAAACCCGAGCGGCCCATTCGACAACAACAAGCAACTTCCGACGAGGATCTAAATCCAAGGGGTAGTATCCCTCGATGCTGACCAGGTCCAGTATCTACCAGAGCCAGGGCACCTCTGCCAGAATTACGGCGTCGAGATATCTGGACGATGTCTATTGGTGTATTGGCCAGCCAATGCGCAGTGCAAAGTTGTGGATTGTCGCTTGCAGTGGCCTGGTGGACCTCGTTGACAGCACGATCCCCCGCCGAAGAGAGGAGGCAAGAATTCCTACAAGACCTGGCGGATCTCAAACGCGAATGCCACATCATTTGCGCTAGCTGCAGAGTGTCCAAAGCATTAGGAGCCGTTCGCATGGTCTCTGGGCATACTGCGAGCCATAGTCGGCTCACGGCCAAGCAGGCGACAGCCGCTTAAACCTTCCGTGAACTGCAATGATAAG